AGACTAGAGTCCCATCTAAGGAAACAAAACAGTATACTCACATAATGGATTGTTCTACAACCTTTAATGACACAGGGAAATGCCCACAATAGAAAAAATAAGCAGATATAGAAAATATAGGGGCTCAGTCAGTTAAGCATCTGACTTCAGCTCAGGTCATGATCTCACGGTTCATGGGTTCGAGTCCCACATCAGGCTCTACAGCTCAGAGCCTGGGACCTGCTTCAGATTCTGTTTCCCCCTCTCTCTGCCCCTCCCCTACTCGCACTCTGTCTCTCTCACTCCCTCAAAAATAAATAAACATTGAAAAAAAAATTTTTAAAAATCGTCAATCTCAACCAAGTTTAAAAGTTAAAACAAATAATAAGAGCTGAGAGAAGGTGATAATGAGGAGTTGCTGTTTCTTGCGTACAGTTTCAGTTTTGCAAGATGAAAAAGTTCAGGAGGTCAGTTGTACAATGTGAAGATACTTAACACGGCTGAACTGTACACTTAAAAAATCATTAAGATGACAAATTTTGCTATGTTTATCTTACTATAGTTTTTTAAAAAGCATATTCCTATTCTGATACAATATGATGCAGACAGCATCATCTATGAAGTATCTTGCCAAATATATTTAACCTGAATCTGAACAAGCTTTTAGACCTACCTTCCAGTTTACAGAAAATACAGCAGAGGAACACAGTAAATGACACTATGAAGAAACCTTAAGACAACAACAGAATGTGGGATACTCTCCAAGACAATTGGCCTGATCTTTTCAAAAAGTCAATGTCTAAAAAGAAACGTGTGGAGAACCCCTCCAGAACACAAGCGATTACTGAGAAATAAGCAAAGGCAGTGCACGAGCTTTGACCGGATTCTAGTTTCCCTTCAAAAAACCAAACAAACAAAAAAACCCAAAACAACCAAAGCCAAAACCAAACCGACATTCTGGGGAACAATTAGGGAAGCTTGAATATGAACTAGATAACTGATGATAACAAGGAAATTAATTTTCCCAGATGTGATCACAGTCTACTGGTGATACAAGAGAATGATGATTTTAGGAATCGAATGCTGAAACCCTAGAGGTGAAATGTCATGAAGTCTGCAACTTAGTTTCCAATAATTAAGCAAAACACACATGTAGGTTTGAATATTTTCATAATAAAACTTGGGGAGAGGCAAAAGCATAGAAAAAAATACATGAAAATGTAAACAGTGTAACCATTGGTCACTTCCCGGAAGGAAAATAGGTTAACAGGTCAGGGAAGGGAATCTTTTTACTGCCTATCCTTTGGGATTTTTTGAATTTTATACTGTGTGCATGTATCAACTGTTCAAATAATTAAGATTTCTTAACATTAAGAGTGGTTACCTTTTCAATAGTGGAGTCACAATTGTTACTTTGTTTTAGACTCAGGAAAAAAATTTTCTTAATTTAGACTGGAGTTGGGAGTAGGGGAACACTTTAATCTCTATAAATTCTATCTCAGGATTATGCTCCAACATGTTATATGACCTTGAATGGAAGACCTGATTTCCCACACCTTTCTACTCAGCTATAAAAATGATAGCCCAGTTCCTTCCACAGAAGCAGTACAACACCATGATTAAGAGCTCAGGCTCTAGAGGAGCCTGGGTGGCTCAGTCGGTTAAGTGTCCAACTTCGGCTCAGGTCACGATATCACATTCGTGGGTTCGAGCCCCACATCGGGCTCTGTGCTGACAGCTAGCTAAGAGCCTGGAGCCTGTCTTCGAATTCTATGTCTCCCTCTCTCTCTGACCCTCCCCTGCTCACACGCGTGCGCTCTCTCTCTCTCTCTCTCTCTCTCAAAAATAAATAAAACATAAAAAAAAGAGCTCAGGTTCTAGTCCAATAGACCAGGTTCTCAGTTTCACTAATTCTTAGCTGACCTTCCATTCCCTCACCTTGAAAATCTAAATAAACCTTTAGAGGTAAAGCTTCTAAAATAATGCTTCGCACACAGTTCTCTGTTGGAGTGGCAGGGGCACAGGCTTTGAAGTACAACAGTACAGGTTCTGACCCTTGCTCTGAGAATCAATTAGTATGCAAGTGATCATAACTGTGCCTCAGTCTTCCCATCTATGAAACCAAGATAATGGTATCTCCCTGGTAGGGTCATTTTGAGGAATTAAATGTAAAAGGTCTCAATAAATAAAGTACCTGACACACAATGGTGCTCAATAAATGGCACTCCTATCCTAACACAGGTCTGGACAATTAGTTCTGTCTCCCTCCTCAGAGCAGGGCTAGCACACCATTCAGATCAGGGGTCAGACTTTTAGGCACCCACTTCCAACCTTTGGGCTTCTCCCATGCTCTCCAGAGATGGTAAGAAAGTCTCACAACCAAAGCCCACCCTATTAGCAATCATTCAACATTGTAGACATTTTTATAACATGCATTATGAGCTGAACACTGATAAAATATTTTCAGGAATATCTTCTTTGGGGCACTGATAAACCAGTAACGAAAAGACAAAAACACATACCATAAATACAAGACAGAAGAAAGTAAACATTAACATGTGCCAAGCGTCTACTGTGTGCCACAGAAGAGTAATTCTTCTTCAGTGTCAAGGAATGGCTGGTGGAGGTGGGCACTGAAGAATTGGGGGGTGGGGGCAGGGTCCACGCCAAAGGGGTCTTTTTGGAACAGCTGTGTATACAGATCTACCCACGCTGCGGGGAGTGAATGCCAAAAGGTGCATCCTGGCTCTTTACACAGGGGCCACCACTCCAAAATCCTAAGAAACTGCAGTGGAACCGCAAGCATTAATCCTCTTAAGATAGTGGTTCTCGGGGCGCCTGGGTGGCTTAGTCGGTTAAGCGTCCGACTTTCGCTTAGGTCATGATCTCACGGTTCGTGGGTTAGAGCCCCGCGTCGGGCTCTGTGCTGACTGTCAGCTCAGAGCCTGGAGCCTGTTTCGGATTCTGTGACTCCCTCTCTCTGTGACCCTCCCCTGCTCACGCTCTCTCTCTCTCTCTCTCCTAGAAATAAATAAAACATTTAAAAAAAAAAAAAAAAGATAGTGGTTCTCAAGTGAGGTTGGGGGAGGCGGGGATTGATTTGCCCCACCTTTCAGGTGGACACAGGCAATGTCTGGAGACATTTTTGGTTGTCACATCTAGGGGGTGGGGGTGCTATCATCTAGTGGGAAAAAGCCAAGGGAGCTGCTAAACATCCTACAATCCACAGGACCTACCTCACAGCAAAGAATTATCTTGCTAGAAATGTCAACAATACCGCTGTTGAGAAACTGCGCTCTACAAAGAGCACCACATACTGGCAAAACTCCAGGGAAGGTCATGAATTTGATCTATGTCTGCAAAGAAAGCCCCTGGTGCTAGGAAATGATTTAGCTAGAACATCTCTGGGGTGGAGGAACACATCAGGATTCCAAACAGACTGCCTATGGGGGTAGATGGGAGGAATCCATGGTGTATCATTTAGAAATGAGGAGTTAAGATATGAAAGAGAGGTGTTACCTAGCCACCGTTTGCCCCCTCTTCCCCAGTTTTGTTGAGATATAACTGACATATAACACTGTATTAGTTTCAGGTGTACAACATGATTCCGTATCCGTCCATATCAAGAAATGATTACCACAGTAAGTTTAGTTAACATCCATCACCTTACATAAACGACTTTTCTCTTGTGATGAGAACTTTTAAGATCTATTCTTTCGGCAACTTTCAAATACACAATCCGGTATTTACTGACCACTCTTCCAAAGCCAAAACCCAAATCACTGTATCCCATCAACCTAATTTCCTACACAGCATGTATCACAGCCAAAAACTGTCTTGTTTTCTCCTTCTTTATTATTGTCTTTCCCCTCTTGAATGCAAGTCCCCTAAGAGTAAGGCTTACTCTATTCTCCGCTGTTTCCACAGAACCTCGAATAACTCCTAACAGTAAGCATTCAATAAATTTGGCGAGCGAAAAAGTTCTTTTAACGGCTTCAGCGGTAGCAAAGGGGTAATTCCGAAGCCCTCCCACCTCTGAGATGGGGGTGGAGGGTGGAGACCCCAAGCACTCCGGCTGGAGAGGCGAGCCTTGGATCAGAAATTCAAAAGTGCCGCCTCCAGCGTAGAGTAAGAAAACGGACGAATTGGAGCACACCAGTGAGAAACGGGAGGGGGCGCTGGGCTGAGGCAGAAGTGTACCGCTGGGGACCGGGGGCCAAGGGAGGACTACTAGCGGTCCCACACCCTCCAGAGGGTTCAAACAAGGCAAGGGGAAGTAGCCGGAAGCAGCAGGTCCCGCGGAGGACTGCGCGGCCAGCCGCTGGCACTCGGCTCCGGACGCGCCACTTTTGGCGGGAGGGGGCAGTGGGCGGGGTAACGTACAGATCGGCCCGTACCACTTGCTCCAAAGAGGGGGCCGCGCAGAGAGCGGGCAAGTGACATTTGGGGAAGAGGTTCGAGTTACAAAACTCGAGCGGGCAAAGCAGGTTCGAGCTGAGTCGGCTCGGGACGGGGAGGAACCTCTGAGGGTTCCCGACAGTTCAGGTCGCACGGGCTGGGTTGAACTACTCTGCTACGGGATAGGGGGTCCAGGCTGGGACGTGCGGAGGGCCGCAGCCAGGTTTATCTCACCAGAGCCATTGGGTCCAATGATGGCGGTGAACCTCTGAAACGGTCCGATAATCTGCCGACCCTTGTACGACTTAAAGTTCTCGATCTCAATCAGTTTCAGGAAACCCATGACAGCGGCGGCGCCGGCGGCTGTACAAAAGGCCGCGCCGTACGCCCGGGAACTGGGGCAGCCCGCGCGGGAAACACCGCAGTGCAGGCCGGGCGGACGGCAAACCTCGCGAGAATAAGTCCAGGCCTAACGGGATTTCCGGCTTCCGGCGCAAACGGAACCAGGGGCGGGGCGTGGAAGTTTTGTTGATCCGTTGCCAGGGCGCGAGCTTACCCTGGGAGTTTGGGTCCCGCCCCCCTTTCTTGTTGCGTGGCAACGCCAACCACAGACACAGCCTACCAAACCGCAGAAGAGGCGGTTACGCAGGACTCTGCAGCTTTTGGAATCCCAGGAAGCAGGCGGGACCGGAGCCCAGGCTTGCTGAGATAGAAGTCACAGCAGGGTTATGCCCTTCAGGGCAAGAGGAAGGTGGGAGCTTGGCTGTGGCTTTAGCCTGGCCGGCTGGAAGGCTCAAACAAGAACAGGGTCAGGAATTGGAAGGACCCCGGGGAGCGAGGGCTGTATAGGAAGGAGGGGCCAACGGGACGAATCGTTGTTAGGTGAACTCAGACCATGCTGATGGTGAAGTAGAGTTGGAAGTGTAGTGAAATGAGGGTTGGAATGGGTTGGGGTGGGAAGGGGGGGGAGTGTGAAGGGAGAGGAGGGTACTCTGGAACCTCAGGCTATGGGCTGGGGAAAGCTATGGCCAGAGTACTGCCTCTGGCTCCTGCCTCCCTCCTGTTGTTCCAACCAGAGTTCAGAGACTGCTGCTGTAACCCAAGAATAGCCTTGGACCTGAGCCACTTATTGGCTACTTGAACACAGACCCAACCTGGGAGCTTCAAACTTGACACTCCTTGCTAAGAAAAGTATTTTGTGTGAATCCTCTGGAGTCAGGGTCCCTGAGCCAGTGCTCTCCACCTCTATTCTCCTTCCTTTCCCCCCATTTTATCTATCTCTCTTCATGCGTCATCCCCATCCCATTTGCTCCTCTCCACCCACTCCCTCACTTTCCTCCTTTCCCTTCTCTAGCTCTCTGTCCTCCCTTCCTGTCTATTGCCCTTCTTCCCCTTTCCTTTTCTCCCTACCCACCCCTCCTTCCCCATATTTTCTATCCTTGTCCTTCATACTTCCATCCCCCTATCACCTTATACCTGCTCATTACGAGGTCATGGCCAGAGCAACGAGGTGGCTCAATGGGTTAAGCGTCTGACTCTTGATTTCGGCTGGTGTCATGATCTCACATTTGGTGGGTTCGAGCCTCGCATGGGGCTCCGTGCTGACAGTGTGGAGCTTATCTGGGAATCTCTCTCTCTCCCTCTGCTCCTCTGCCACTCACACATTCTCTCTCTCTCTCTCTCAAAAAAAAAAACCCAAAAAACAAGGACATGGCGTTAGCAGTCCAAGAAGCTTAAAATACCTGCCAAATCTTCCCGTTCAATGACCTTACATTGTGGTGACAGATGGAATGAATAGGCTGGGGTTGGTGCTTAGACTTAGACATGGAAAAGGTCTGGTGGTTGCCATAGCCATTCCTGAATGAATAAGCACCAACCCCAGCCAATTCATTCATCATTTTTAAAATGATATCGGAGGCCGGGAAGAGTCTAAAAGTTCTAGGACAGGTCCAGGAAAGTGAGAAAGCTTGGTTGATGGAATCTAGTAGAGGAACCATAAATGAATTCAACTGGGAGAAACAATCACAATCAAGCTGAGGAAACAGAATGACCAAAGGACAGCAATCTCATATAATTAATTGACAGGAACTAGGGTTCCATTTCAAAAGATGAGATGTAACTTGGAAAAAAATCAAATTGGAACCCTACCTCTCATACCATATATAAAGTGCAATTCCAAATGGATTAAAAACTTAGAAAGGCAAAATTCTAGACATTTTAGAATATATAGTAGAATATCTTTATGACCTCAGGGGATTTCTTAAATAATGAAAACTTCTAAGTTTAAAAGATAAGATTGGTGAATTTGACTACATTTAAATTCATCCAAATTACACCATAAGGAAAATGAAAAAATGGGTAAGTGCACACAGAAAGCTTCTAGAGTGTTGATTATGTTTTCTGGCTTCTGCAGAGGATTCACAGGTGTTCATTTTGTTGTGCCTCATAACTTACATGTGTGTTAGCCAGCTTCCTTTGTATGTATCAGTTGTTACCATAAAATAATAGTAAGGTGAGGGGGCACCTGGCTGACTCTGTTAGTAGAGCATGGAACTCTTGATCTCAGGGTCTTCTGTTCAGGCCCCATACTGGGCATAGAGCATACTTTAAAAAAAAAAGAAATATTATTATTTTTAAATGTTTATTTATTTTTGAGAGAAGAGAGTGCGTGCAGGGGAGGGGCAGAGAGAGAGAGGAGGACAAAGAATCTGAAGCAGGCTCCAGGCTCTGAGAGCCTGACATGGGGCTTTAATTTACAAACTTTGAGATCATGACCTGACCCAAAGTCAGACACTTAACCCACTGAGCCACCCAGCTGCCCCTAAAAATAAATATTATTTTAAAAATCTGGGGCACCTGGGTGGTTCAATCAGTTGAGCATCCAACTTTTGATTTTGGTTCAGATTATGATCCCAGGGATGTGGGATTGAGCTCCACATTGGGATCCGCAATGATTATGGAGCCTGCTTAAGATTCTCTGTCTCTGTCTCTCTCTATTTCCCACTGCCCCTCCCTCCTGCTTGTGCTTTCTCTCTCTCTCTCTCTCTCAAAAATAAATAAAATAATAATAAAGTGAAAAGACAAGCCACAAACTGAAGGTGTTTGCCACATTTAAGCTAATAAATGATTAATGTATAGAATACATAAAGAACTCCTAAAATTAATAAGAAAATGACAAGCAACTTGATTTTTTTAAAAAATGAACAAATGTATGAATGAGCACGTCACAGAAGAGTATTCAAAAATGGCCAAAATACATGAAAAGATGTGCAACCTCATTAGCAATAATGATAATATCAATACAAATTGATCATTATAATTTTATACTAACAAATTGGCAAAAGTTAAAAAGTCTTTAATACCAAATATTGCTGAGGATGTGGGGTGACTAGAGTTTTTATACACTATAGTGAAAGTGTAAATTGGTACAGTCTCCTTGGGAAACAACTTATAAAATTAAATACTTTTATGCCCTATGATCAGCACTTGCACTCTGAGGTATATGCTAGAGAAATTTTCCCACCAGTATATAGGTTTCTTTTATTTTTTTAATTAATTTATTTTGTGAGAGATATAGAGGTTTCTTTTAATCTATAGCTTCCTCCATTTTTTTCCCCTGCAAATTAAAAAAGAATAAAATAAACTGGGTTGTTTGTGCTGCAGAGTCCTAGTCTCTCCTGAACTTACTTCAATCAGGTCTTCATCCCCACAACCCCATCAAAAATGTTTTTGTTAAGGTCATCAGCAATCCTCATGTTAGTAAACCTGTCAGTTCTCAGTCCTCATCTTAACATATCATCAATTGCTCACTCTTTCCCAAAATCTTCTCAGATACCACACTCCTGGATTTCCTCCGCCTCACCAGACACTCCTCCTCAGCCTCCAGTGCTGACTCCTCCTCTCCTTCTCTCCCCTTGGGGCATCTAAACTTCCCTAGAGATCTCTTACAGCCTTGTAGCTTTAAATTCCTGGGTGCCTGGGTGGCTCAGTCAGTTGAGCATCCGACTTCATATCATGATCTCCTGGTTTCTGAGTTCGTGGGTTCGAGCCCCTCATTGGGCTCTCTGCTGTCATCCTGAAGCTCACTTTGGATTCTCTGTCCCCCTCTCTCTGCTCACTCTCTCTCTCTCAAAAAAAAAAAAAAATGAAATTCCTTTGTATCAGTCAGGATAGGCTAACTTTTGCTGGGGTTACAAACAACCCCAAAATCTCAGCAGCTTAGAATAACAAGGATTTCTCACTTATGCATCTTGTCTGATTTGGGTTGGCTACATCTCTGCTTTATGTCATCATTCCAGGACTGATGCTGAAGGAGCAGCTCTTAACTGGGACATTGCCAGACTCCTAGCAGACAGTGAAGAGGAAAACGTGGCAATCACATAGGCGTTTAGTTCTGTTTGGGAATGACACAGGTCAATTCTCCCATTGCAAAGGGCAAAGCCAATCACATGGCTAACCTTGAGGGCAATGAGATGTATAAGCCTTCTATAGGGAGAAGCAGCAGATCTTTTGGAACAATAATGAAATCCACCATACCATCTGTACGATATCAATGGATATCTAATAGACTTCCCAAACTCAACACTTCCAAAACTGATCTCTTGTTCCTCCTCACCACCACCCCCCATCCCACTGTTCTCCCCACACAGACTATTCAGTTTATAGCAACTCCATCCCTCTGATTGCCTTAGCTCAAATACTTGAAATCATTCTTGATACAGCTCTCATACTGCACATCTAATTTATCAGAAGTCCTGTTGGCTCTGCCCTCAAAATAATCCTGAATCTGGGGCACCTGTGTGGCTCGGTCGGTTGAGCATCTGACTTTGGCTCAGGTCGTGATCTCACAGTTTTTGAGTTCAAGCCCCACATAGGGTTTGCTGCTATCAGCGCACAGTCCGCTTGGATCCTCTGTCCCCATCTGTCTCTGCCCCTCCCCTACTCATATTCTCTCTCTCTCTCTCTCTCTCTCTCTCTCTCTCTGTCTCTCAAACAAATAGAAACATTTTAAAAATACATGTATATATCCAGAATCTGACCACTTCTCACTATCCTTCCTGCTCCTAACCTGATGTGATTCACCATCATCTCTTGCCTGGATGACTGCAATAGACTCCTGTCTGGTCTCTCTGCTTCTAGCCTTGCCTCTGGTCCCCTTAATCTATTCACACAGCAGCCAGAAGTGATCCTTTAAAAACCAAAGGCAGGACACATCATTCCCACTGCTCAAAACCCTCCAGTGGCTGCCCATTTCCCCCAGAGTAAAAGTCACAGTCTTTAATAACGTTCTGCAAAGTCCTACAGTCTCTGCACCTCCCCCCACATTATCTCTCTAATAGCATTTCCTGCCTACCTCTCTTTCACCCACTTGCCTCCCTGCTGTTCCCCTGAATGTGTGCCTTTTGGGTCCTTCTTAAAGCCTCTGCCTGAGTGCTCTCCTCTTAGATATCTGCATAGGTGACTCCCTCACCTTCAAGTATTTGCTCAAATATTACCTGTTCAGTCATGCCTTCCTTGACTTCCACATTTAAAATTGCAACACTCCCATCTCCTTGGCACTTCCAGTTCCCTTTATTCTGCTCTATATTTTTTCCCAGAGAACTTACTTCTTACAAACTAATGTGCTGTTGATTGTCTGTGCCCCCCCAAAAGCAACCTCCACAAAGACTCAGATTCTTGTCAGTTTTGTTCCTTGATGTCCTCCAAATGCTTACAGGAGTGTCTTGACAGTGGGCACTCCCCAAAGATTTGCTAAATGATAGAATGAACATGAGTGAACACAGGAAGTTGAAGAAGAATGTACACTGCATGATACATTATAATGTTCTGAAACGAGGGGCGCCTGGGTGGCTCAGTCAGTTAAGTGTCCAACTTCAGCTCAGGTCATGATCTCACGGTTCGTGGGTTCGAGCCCCGCGTCGGGCTCTGTACTGACAGCCAGCTCAGATCCTGGAGCCTGTGGCAGATTCTGTGTCTCCCTCTCTCTCTGACCCTCCCCTGCTCACACTGTCTCTCTCTCTCTCTCAGAAATAAATAAAACATTAAAAAAATTTTTTTTAAATAATGTTCTGAAACGAGAATATTTCAAAATATTGTCCAGAGCGTCATATACATACACAACATATTAATGCCTTTTAGTAAGCGAATGCCAACATTTGCACAGTGGTTATCTCTTAGGGTAAGGATGAGGGAGAAGAGACATATGATACTTCAATAGTATTGATCATGTTCTATTTTTTTAAATTTTTTTTAATGTTTATTTTTGAGAGAGACAGAGTATGAGTGAGGAAGGGGCAGAGAGAGAGAAGGAGACACAGAATCTGAAACAGGCTCCAGGCTCAGAGCTGTCAGCACAGAGCCTGATGTGAGGCTCAAACTCAGGAATGGCAAGATCATGACCTAGGCTGAAGTCAGACACTTAATGGACTGAGCCACCCAGGCACCCCAACCATGTTCTATTTCTTAAGTTGGGGTGTTGGTTCATGGGTCTCTTTTATCATGCTTCCTAACTTGTATATGGATATATATACATATATATATATGTATGTATGTACATATATTCTCCTGTATGTGTCAAATATTTCAATCACAGAATGTTTAAAAAAAAAAAAAGAATCAGAACTAGCTCTAGGAGGAGTTGAGGCATGGTATTCTAAACAAAGAAACTCCAGGTACAAAGGCCCTGAGGTGGGAATGGTTGTTGCATTGGAGGACTTGATGGGAGGCCAGTGTGCCTGAAAGACTTTAAGTTAGCGAGGCTGTGACATGGGATGAATTGGAGAGGTGTGCAGGAGCTGGATCTTGAAACCCGTGGTTAGGAATTTGGATCTGATTCTAAGTGCAGTGGGAAGCCATTGGAGGATTGTGAGCAGGTGAGAGACATGATCAGATTCATGTTTGTGAAAGTGTATTTGGCTGTGTTTTTGGCCAGCTCACAGTGCCAAAAGTGAGCTTCCCAAAATATGACAGGTGAATTTAAGCCCTCTAGCCTGTCACTTGACTAAAGAATAAGTAGCAAATAAAGAGGAAAAATGGTGCCATTTACTGAAATGGGGAAAACTGAGTAGAGCATAACACAAATAGGGGAGATTTGTAAATGAGTTTGAGAATTGGAAAGGTGAGCAGGGGTCAGATCATGAAGACTCTTATAAATCTGGCAAAGAGGGTTACACTTTACCTTGTAAACACTGGGGAGTCATTTTCTTTAAAGCTGCTTAAAAATTTTTTTTAAGATCTTTTATTTTTAAGTAATCTCTACATACAACATGGGGCTTGAAATTACAACCCTGAGGTCGTGTCACATGTTCCCTGACTGAGCCAGACAGGTACCCTGTTGCTTTTAAAGGATTTTTTTTTACTTTCTATAATTTATTTATTTTTTATAATTTACATCCAAGTTAGTTAGCACATGGTGCAACATTGATTTCAGGAGTAGATACCTTAAGCCCCTCACCCATTTAGCCCATCCCCCCTCCCACACCCCTCCAGCAACCCTCTGTTCTCTATATTTAAGGGTCTGTTTTTATATTATTTTTGCTTCCCTTCCTTTATGTTCATCTGTTTTGTGTTTTAAAATCCTCATATGAGTGAAGCCATATGATATTTGTCTTTCTGTGACTAATTTCACTTAGTATAATACCGTCTAGTTCCATCTGAGTAGTTGCAAATGGCAAGATTTTATTATTTTTGATTGCCAAGTAATACTCCATTGTGTATATGTATGTGTGTATGTATATATATATATATATATATACACATCATCTTTATCCATTCATCCATCAATGGACATTTGGGCTCTTTCCATACTTTGGCTATTGTCGATAGTGCTGCTATAAACATTGGGGTGCATGTGTCCCTTTGAAACAGCATACTTGTATCCCTTGGATAAATACCTAGTAGTGCAGTCACTGGGTCATAGGGTAGTTATATTTTTAATTTTTTGAGGAACCTCCATACTGTTTTCCAGAGTGGCTGCACCAGTTTGCATTCCCACCAGCAGTGCAAAAGGGTTCCTCTTTCTTCGCATCCTCACCAGCATCTGTTGTTGCCTGAGTTGTTAATGTTAGTCATTCTGATGGGTGTGAGGTGGTATCTCATTGTGGTTTTGATTTGTATTTCCCTGATGATGAGTGATGTTGAGCATTTTTTCATGTGTCGGTTGGCCATCTGGATGTCTTCTTTGGAGAAGTGTCTATTCATGTCTTTTGCCTATTTCTTCACTGGATTATTCGTTTTTTGGGTGTTGACTTTGTTAAGTTCTCTATAGATTTTGGATAGTAACCCTTTATCTGATAGGTCGTTTGCAAATATCTTCTCCCATTCCATTAGATGCCTTTTAGCTTTGCTTCACCGTGCAGAAGCTTTTTATTTTGATGGGGTCCCAATAGTTCATTTTTGCTTTGGTTTCACTTGGCTTTTAAAGGTTTAAAGCTGAGGTGTGCCATGGTCAGATTTGCTTTCAGAAAGGTCACTCTGGTAACTAGTGCAGAGAAAGAAGTAGAGAGGGTAACACTGGAGCAAGGGAGACCACTGAGGATTCTGGGAATATTGTCTGGCACCTGATTGTCAGGCCTGAGTTAGGGTGGTGACAACAGAAATGTAGGACACATATATGAAATATATCAGTAGGTAAAATCAGTAGGAATCAATAAGTGGTGAAACACTATAGGGAGAAAGGAATAGGGGTGGGAGTGTAGTCAAGGGTGATGGTTAGCACTGATTACCCATTCTACCCCACCCTTGCTCCAGATGAATAAGATAAACCTGTTGCCAGATCCGAAGGAGGTGGCAGCCATCGAGGCTAGAAAAAATCGAGAAAAACAGCGACAGAGCCGATTCTTCAATGTGCGGACCCGAGTCATGGGGGTGAGTAGGCATTGGGGATTTTCTTGGGACCAGGAGCAACCTCACCCCTGCACCCAGAGTGGAATGTAGGAGTGTCTGTTACAGCGCTCCTTGATTTGAGCGGGCCCTAGGGCTGGAAAGGAAGGAGAATGGAGAGAAGGCATCCACTCCCAGGTGTGGGAAGGAAGGAGGCTGGGGGGACACAGGAAGAGACTGGGGGGAGAGGAGCTAGTGACAGTGACTCTCCTCTAGTCAGCTCTGGGCTGAGTTGCCTGGTTCTTGAAAGACAGGCAACATGGAGCCAAAAGAAGTCTAAAGAATATTTGGTATTGCATATGCCTAAATGCTGTCTGGAAGGCTATGTAAGAAACTGTTAACCAGGCTGAGAGACAGAGATGGGAGGGACTTTTCACTAAACTATATTCCCTTTTGCACTATCTTGAAATGTTTTAAATGAATTATAATCAAAATAAATAGAAAATGTTGATAGTTTAAGAGAAAGTAGATAGCTAAGTAGGTGGGTAGAGGGGGGGAAATGCAGCATGGTATTCTGGAAAAGACCTTATACCTATGCTCAAGGGCCAGGTCTGCTGTTTACTAGATGCATGGCTTTAAATGAGTCACCTATCTTCTCTGAGCTCCAGGCTCCTCCTTGGTAAAATGAAGCTAAATAAAGGAAGTGTGAAAGTGAATATTAACATATGGTGATGGCTCTGGAAACCAGAGCATAGTGCCTGACACAAGTAAGTAGCTGGCTGAGAGATATGTGGTGTGATTGAGATCCAATGACAAGATTTTCCTCAGGGTCTGCTCTGTGCCAAGCACGGTGTGGGCAGTAGGGTACAAAGCTGACTAAGGCCCAGTCTCCATCCTTAATGGGCTCACAGTCTGGTGGAGGAGATCATCAATAGAGGCAAACTTCAATATAATGTGGACAATGGGTCCTAGATTCTATGGGAGTAAGGAATGCCTAAGGAATCAGGAAGGTGAAGCCTGGGCTGATCTTGAAGGATGAATAGGAATTTGGGTAAAAAGAGGAAGAGAGAGTTCCAAGTGGAGGGAGCAGCTGGAGCGAAAGCTATTTGTTCAGATCAACCTAAGATGAACAGGGAACTATAAGCACAGAGCTCCTGAGGGTGGGGCCAGTGAAGAAGGTACTGAGATATGGCTGGAGAAGGAGGCAGAGGCTAGAGCATTGAGGGGCTTACAAGTCATGCTCAGATGATAGAATATTATCCAGTAGGTACTGGGAATCTATAGGAGGATTCTGAAGCAGGTAAATTCTCAGCAGTTTGTGTTAGAGCATTCAAGGCCTGCTGCTGATCCCCTACCCTGATTTAGCTCTTTTCTTGGGATCAGGTGGATGTCAAAGCCCTCGACAGCCAGCAGGTAAATTCTCAGCAGTTTGTGTTAGAGCATTCAAGGCCTGCTGCTGATCCCCTACCCTGATTTAGCTCTTTTCTTGGGATCAGGTGGATGTCAAAGCCCTCGACAGCCAGGTGGAAGAGCGAAAGCTTCGAGAGGCAACAGAGCAGAGCAAGGAGGCAGCTTATGGTAAAAACTCAAGGCCAAGGGCAAGCCAAGAAGGCTAGTATAAGGGCTTGGGTGGGGGCTGAGGTAGGGCAGTTCTGCCTTGGGGTGGGGCCTGAGGCCTGGGGTGTGGTGGGACAAACCAGATGGGCTTCAAGAGCAGAGGCCATGCTGAGTGGCCTCTCTGCCATGGGGCCTTCTCCATGTTCCTGCTCACCACTCCCAGCTACCTACCAGAAGCAGTATGATCTAGTAGCCCAGATGCTAGAGAAGGAAGAGGCAGAACGGACACGCCGGCTGGCCAAGAAAGTCCAGGAATTACGAGAGCAAAACCAGCAGGTCAAAAACAAGCAGGAAGTTGACTTTTGGGATCCTAGCCGACAGTGGATGGAGTATCCAGCCTATCTCAGGGACAACGAATCCTGCTATGGCCCATCCAGCCTGCAGTACTTTGCGCGGGAGGACCTGGAGAAGGCCACATGCCTGAAAATGCAGCAGGAGCAGTTCAGGCAAAGCCTGGAAAAGCAGCTGAAGGAGCGACAACAAGCCAGGGTTGATAAGACGTATTCAGGTAAGCAATCTCAGGGCCCTACAGGCTGAGATTGGAAGCCTAGTGGAAAGTTGTCCTAAGCCGAGTACAGTACCCAGGAGACCAGAACTGTGTGAGGAGGTCCAGTTACCCATAGAGCTGATGCTGAAAGCTTAGACTGAGCCAACCCCAACTTCCCTGACCTCCTTAGTAACTTAGTACCCAGTCAGCCTGGAACTCCATTCTGTGGAAGTGGCATAGTGAAGACAGACTCTGCCACTTACTCCCTGGTTTAGACAAATGAATTTTCTTCTCAGTGCTTCAGTTTCTTCATCTTTATTTTTTCAATGTTTTATTTATTTTTGAGAGAGAGAGAGAGAGACAGTGTGAGCAGGGGAGGGTCAGAGATAGAGGGAGACACAGAATTCGAAGACAGACTCAGGCTCTGAGCTGTCAGCACAGAACCCGACGCAGGGCTCAAACCCATGAACCGTGAGATCATGACCTGAGCCGAAGTCGGAAGCTCAACTGACTGAGTCACCCAGGTGCCCCAGGTTCTTCATCTTTAAAATGAAGATAATAATCCATGCCACACAGAGCTCATAGGAGAATGAAATGAGATACTGTTTGTAAAGCACAAGCATCAGTGCTCAACAACCAGTAGCCACTATTACTACAACATTATCTGTGACCACATCCTCCTCTTCCATTACAGTAAGCCCTTTGAAGGAGAGGATGATCTCTTATCTACTTGCACTCCTCACCTTTCAAATCATCCCTGTTATATAGCACCCTGTTCTGTTTATCACTTGTTGTAGTTGTAGCTAATTCTGAAAGTATTTGTGGAATGTCTTTTCTCTAAAATGTCAGATCACAAGACAAACCACATCTCTCATTTCCACCCCTGTATCCCAGTTGCCTAGTACAGTGCCTGCCACGGTGTCAGGAGCTCAATAAATCATTGTTGAATGAACAATTAGAGACCAAAGTAAACAAGACAGGCACCCTGCCCTCTGTGAGTCCATGAAACCATGCCCCTTCTAGAAAATCAATTTAGAGAAAGAGGAAAAAAAAAAAAACACACAAGCCATTCGTCAGCAAATATTTATGCTTTAACTTTGTGGTAGGTACTATGACAGAAGCACATATAGGGGACTCCTGGGCAGCTCAGTCAGTTAGGCATCCAACTTCGGCTCAGGTCATGATCTCATGGTTGGTGGGTTCGAGCCCCGCATGGGGCTCTGTGCTGACAGCTCAGAGCCTGGAGCCTGTTACAGATTCTGTGTCTCTCTCTCTCTCTGCCCTTCCCCATCTGTGCTCTGTCTGTCTCTCTTTCTCAAATACAAATAAACATTAAAAGAAGTACATATAGGATATGGTGGGAAAATCAATATGGGAGTAGTTAATTCTTATGAGGAAAGGGAGGCAAGATAGGAGGGTGGCACAAGTCATCTGTCAGGAATCAATTTTGTAAAGTTGGGTACAGTTTTTCCAAGGTAGGGAGAGGGAACAAGAAAAGGCCATTCTAGGCAGAGGGGACAGCAAGAGGTAGAGAACAGGGGCTGTGAATAGTCTGAGGGTTTAGGATGCATGAACAGTTCAGTGTAGTGCAGCCTAGGATTAAGGGCTTGGAGGAAGGGAAAACGTGCAAGATTTTTCTACACCAAACGAAGGAACTGTGACTTTATTGTGTAGGCAGTGGGTGACCATTTAAGGGATTGAAGCAGAATGACAAGACCAGTTTTAATACTCGGCAATTATTAAGCTACCTATTTTGTGCCTGGCACAGTAAACAAAATAGAAAAGTCCTTGCTGTCATGGAGTTCACACTCTAATGGGGGCAGACAGACAATAAACAAGATAAAATAGTAAAATATACAGTGGACCCTTGAACAACATGGGTTTGAACTGCACGGGTCCACTTATATGCGGATTTTTAAAAAATAAATACAGTACTGTAAATGTATTTTCTCTCCCCTATGATTTTCTTAATAACATTTTCTTTGCTCTGGCTTTATTGTAGAGCTACAATATATAATACATATAACATACAAAATATGTGTTCATTGACTTTATGTTATTGGTAAGGTCAACAGCAACAGACTATTAGTAGTTAAGTTTTGGGGGAGTTAAAAGTTATATGTGGATTTTTGACTGTGGGGGGTGTTGGTGCACCGAAGCCCCACGTTATTCAAGGGTCAACTGTATAAGGTGGTTAAGATAGTTGCTAGGGAGAAAAGTGAAGCACAAAAGGGGGATATGGGGACTTTGGGAGAGGGGTGCATGGTTGCAATTTTAAATAAGGAAAACCTCACTGAGTTAACCTTTGAATACAGATCTGGAGATGAGGAAGTGAGCAATGCAAACATCCGAGGGAAGAGCTGTCCAGGTAGAGGAAATAGTACAAAGGCCCCGAGGCAGAGGAGAGGGTGTCTGGAATGTTTGAAGAATGACAGTAGGGCCAGAGTAGCTGATGTAGACCTAGTAAGGGGAAAAGTGATAGAAAGCAAGGTTAGAGAGATGGAAGGGGCCAGATCTAGAAGGCCTTACAGGCCATGGTGGGGACTTTGGCTTTTAATGAGTGAGGTAGGAGCCGCAGGAGGGTTTTGTGTTTTGGAGTCATGTGATTTGTGTTTTAGCCATAAAACTTTGCCAGCTGTTGTGGAGATCGGGTTAGAGAGGAAGACTAGAGGCAAGGAGAGTAGCTAGAATGCTGTTGTAGCCAAGAGGAGGTGGCCAGCAGGCAGCCATGTGATCCTGAAGTGGCATATAGCCAGTCACTCTGCGGTGCAGGGAGAGATCAGAGAGAGGTCCAAGGTGAGGAAGGGTGTGCAAATGAGCAGGATACTAAGCCTGAATGGAGCCTGGAAAAGGGTGAGCAAATGGTACACTCTGTGAGGACAAAGGTCAAAGCTGACTTATTAACCACTACAATCCCAGTGATTTACACCCTACATTACCTGGTACATGGTAGATGCTCAGTAAATGTATCTTGAGTGAATGAAGGAGCCCATCACAAAGGGATCAGGGAGGTAGATAAAAGATACATCAAGTAATAAAAATAGCTAACCTGTATTGAGCACTTACTGTGTACCAGACACTGCTAACTTTGGAAGTTTGCTCCCATATAGTAACTGAGGTAATCCTGACAACCAGTCCATGAGGCAAGTCCTAGTATTATCCCCCTTCTCAGTGGAGGAAACTGAAGAATGGAGATGTTAAAGAACTTGCCCAAAGTCATACAGCTTGTAGGGATGGAGGCAGGAAGTAAACTCAGGCAGGCTGGCTCCAGAGTCTTTTTTTTTTTTTTTTTTAATGTTTTATTTATTTCTGAGAGAGAGAGAGAGACAGCACGAGCAGGGGAGGGTCAGAGAGAGAGGGAGACACAGAATCCGAAGTCAGGCTGCAGGCTCTGAGCTAGCTGTCAGCACAGAGCCCGACGCGGGGCTTGAATCCACGAACCATGCGATCATGACCTGAGCCAAAGTCGGGCGCTTAACCGACTGAGCCACCCAGGCGCCCCAAGCCCGACCATGTCTTGACCATGACACCATGCTTGCCTTCTCTCTGTTGCCATGAGAAGTAGAGACTCAGAAGTCAAGGGAGGAGTTTCAGAGAGGAAGTCATCAATAATATCAAAGGCCATGGAGAAGTTCAGATAGGAACAGAAACCTGTCTACTGAATTTGGAAATTGAGAGTATTTGGTGACTTTTGTCAGAGTGCTCGCAGTGGCACCATGGGGGCCAGCTGCCCTGTGGCAGCAGGCAGGTATGAGAAGGCAGAGCTAGGCAACAAGGACAGCAGAATACCAAGGGAGAGTCCACACAGTGTAATGGAAGGAGCGTGGGCTGATTCCTCGAGAGACTTGGATTCAAATCCCGACCATCTACTTGCTGACTGTGTAACCTTGGACATTTTGCTTCACCTCTGGACCTCTTAGTGCCCTCACCTGAAAAAATGGTGCTGATCTTTTCCTCTCTGGGTTGTTGTGAAGAGTGAAATGAAACCATGCACCCCTATCCATTCCCCTCCCCCCCCGCCCCCCCCCACCGCTGTCCTTCAGCATCTGAAGTCTGTCCCAGTGCCTCTTCAAAGCCAAGCCTTAAGCCTATGTTCCGGACCCCATTATCCCTGTCTGTCCCTCTACCTGCCCCCAGGCTGTGCTTTCTCAGGTATCCCCTGCCCTGTGTTTTCAACATTTCCCCTTTCACTCGTCCCTTCTGTGCCTGCTGTAAACATGCTTATGTCTAACCCATCTTTAAAAAACAAAAGCCTCCCTCCACCCTGTGATTCTTCTAGATGCTGTGAGCTAGCTGTTGTTCTTTACAGCCATACTTTTTGAAAAATCTGCTTCTACTTGCTGTCTTTTCTTCCTTTCCAGTCATACCTCAACCTCTAGATCTCCTTTCTCCCCACACAGCTGCACTGACCCTGCTCTTGCTAAAATCACCAATGTGTTTGTGTTATTAAGTACAAGAGGCTCTGTTTAATATTTCCCCTTTGACTGGAACTTTCTTGCTACACTTGACTCTGATCACATCCTTCTTTTTTTTTTCTTTTTTTTCTTTTTTTTTTTTTTTTTCAAATAGTTTATTGTCAAATTAGTTTCTACATAACACTCAGTGCTCATCCCCAAAGTGCCCTCCTTCATGCCCATTCCCCCCTCCCCCCCACATCCATCAGTCCTCAGTTTTTGTCAGCATTCAAGAGTCTCTCATGGTTTGCCTCTCTCCCTTTCCCCCACCATTTCCGCCCTTCTTCTCCCCCTTGGTCCTCCGTCAAGTTCTTCCTAATCCTCCTATACGTGCAAACATATGGTATTTGTCCTTCTCTGCCTGACTTATTTCGCTCAGCATAACACCCTCAAGGTCCATCCATGTTGCTACACATGGCCAGATTTCATTGTTTCTCATTGCCATGTAGTATTCCATGGTATAGATAAACCACATCTTCTTGATCCATTCATCTGTTGATGGACACTTAGGCTCTTTCCATGTTTTAGCTATTGTGATCACATCCTTCTTGAGCCTCTTTTCCTTGGCTTCTATAAAAGGACATTCTGCTCTTTTTAAAATTTTTTTTTGTGTGTGTTTTATTTCTGAGAGAGAGAGAGAGAGAGAGAGAAAGAGAGAGAGAGAATGAGTGGGGGGGGGCAAGGAGAGAGGGAGATACAGAATCTGAAACAGGCTCCAGGCTCTGAGCTGCTGTTAGCACAGAGCCTGACATGGGGCTTGAACCCACGAACCGTAAGATCATGACCTGAGCCAAAGTCAGACACTTAACCGACTGAGCCACCCAGGCGCCCCAAGGACATTCTACTCTTAACTGTCTATTTCTTCGGTGTCTGCCCTTTGTGGTATCCTCTCCCTTTACTCCTTCCTTTTTGAGACTTGGTCTCTGGCACACTGCTTTCCCTACCCTGCATATTTACCTCAGGTGCCCTCGGCCCTTATTCTGGTTTGAGCTACCATGTCACCACCTCTGTGCTGTGGACTCTCTACCTGCAGAATCAGATATGCAGATGCCTGTTGACCACCTTCAACTCAGCTTCCTAAACAGAGTTCATCTATGTTCCCTAGCCTGCTCTTCATTCTCTATCTTTTATTTCCAGTGGTGTCCACACCATGCATCCAGTCATCTAAGCCAGGACCCTGGGAAGCATCCAAATCTCCCCACTCCCTTACTCTCTCATGCAATCCATCAAGTACGGCTGATGTAGCCTCCTGTATATTTGGCCTAGTTTGAGCTCTCCAAGATGGCTTCCCTACCTCCATTATCTCCCACCAGCCTGACTATATTCTATACTGGCCTGGAAGGAGCTTTCTTTTTTTTTTTTTTTAACTTTTTTTTGTTTGTTTGTTTGGGCCTGCATTGTTCATATATATATATATACATTTTTTTTTAATTTTATTTATTTCTAGGAGAGAGAGAGAGAGAGAGAGAGAGCATGAGCAGGGGAGGGTCAGAGAGAGAGGGAGACACAGAATCTGAAACAGGCTCCAGGCTCTGAGCTGGCAGTCAGCACAGAGCCCGACGCGGGGCTCGAACCCACGAACCGCGAGATCATGACCTAAGCGAAAGTCGGACGCTTAACCAACTAAGCCACCCAGGTGCCCCTGGAAGGAGCTTTCTAAAATACACAGCTGTGTCCCCTGCCCCACCCCCTTGCTTAAAATCCTTCCATGTTCCCCACTACCTTCAGGACAAGTTTTTGGCTGTGAGTCTGGACCCTGCAAAGCTCCCTAGCCACTTGCGTTTTATGCTCCAGCAAGAACACACTATTTGTAGTTTAAAATACAGAACATACTATTTCTTGGTTTCCTTCATTCATTTGACAAATATTTATTAAGCACCTACTATGTGCCAGGCTCTGATCTAGGTGCTGGGCATGGTAGTGAATAAAACAGACAAAATCTCTACCTTTACAAAAGTTACTTCCTAGTGAGGAAAGAAATAGGCAATAGACCAAATAAGTTAAATGTAGAGTATATTGAATGGTGGCAAATGGTAGGGAGAAGAATAAATCAGGGAAGGGGGATAAATGTTGGGGACAGGAAGGCTGCAATTTTAGGTAGGAGAGACAGGAAGGTGGCAATATTTGAGCAAATACCTGGGAGTAAGCAAGAGAGCATGAGCCAAGAATAACATCTATTGCAAATTCCTGGGGCAGTAATTCTAGCATGTTCTAGAAACAGCAAGGAGGCTGGTGTGACTGGACTAAAACACGGCCTGGAATGCCCTTTGCTCTTTCTTTAAATATGCAGTGCACATTTCAAGGATCACCTCCTCCTGGAAGCCTTCCCCTCACCCACCACCCAAAGCTCTCATGATGCCCGTATACATCTTTATCACTGCCTTTATCAAAATGTAGTATGATGATCTATGTTTGATTCATCTCCCTGCAACTTTCAGTTAGGCACTTGAGAAGTCCTTGTTGCTGCTACTTTGGTTATCCCTAGCCCCAAAGTTTAACTCCTCCACATCCCTACAATTAGGACATTCCCCTCCCAAACACACATATACACACCCACCGAGCTTGTTGAACAAATAGCTGAATGAGTGAACCAGCAATGGGGCAGACCAATACAGTGCCCTGCCCATATTTCTGTGTAGATCTGCTCGATGACCAGCTGCGCCTAGCCATGGACACACGGGCCGCCCAGCTGGCCAAGCTGGAGGAGTCCTGTCGCGTGGCCATGATGACTGCCATGGCCAACGCCAACAAAGCCCAGGTACAGCCATTCAGTGCACTGGGCTCTCCCTAACCCCTTGAACAAAGTCCTGGGGAACCTTAGCCATATCTTTGCCCACATAAACTTTCTTGAATCAACATCAACCCTCTCATCTAGTTGAGGATGTCCCCTTTCACCTAAGGGCCCTCTTAGGGCAGAAGATGCTCTTCCCCACATCCAGACTCAGGATGACCTGAACACAGTACACCACCCTCTCTTCCCCAGCTTCTCAGTCTAAAAGTTTCCAGAGAGCAGGGAAGTTCTCTGTCCACCACCACCCCCTCCATTTTAGGTCATTCAAAGGTCTGGCAATATCTGTTCCTTCTCTCCCAGAGATAGAGGAGAGTAGGGCCATGTCTTCCCCTCCCCTGTGACTGAGGGTTCCCTGATGTTGGGTACCCAAATGCTCACATTTTGGGGCCCCACCAGGCAGCTGAGCTGGCTCGGCGGCAGCGGCATGAGCAACGCCATGAACAGGAGGCCAACCTCAAGGAGATCCAGAAACAGGTCACCAGTAACCTACTAACTGAGAACCCCCAGGCTTCTCAAAACTCCGTGGCTCCCCACCGGGTCCTACCCCATTGTTGGAAGGGTATGACTCCGGAGCAGCGTGCTGCCATCAAGAAAGCCCAGGAGGTGCAACACCATGAAAAGGAGGCACAGCGCAGGGCTGAACGAGCACTGAATGCCAAGAGGGAAAGACAGACCTTGAGCTTGGCCCAGGCAGCAATGAAGCTAGAAGAGCAAGAGAGGGAACTTTGTGCTGAATTTCAAAGGGGACTGGGCTCCTTCAATCAGCAGCTGGCTACAGAGCAAAAAGCTCAGTGAGTTCTAGGGGGTAGCAACATGGATGAATGCCAAGGGAGGGATGGGAAAGGCCAGGGAGAAAGGGAAAGCTCATCAGCTGAGGCCTCTGCACTTCTTTCACAGGCAGAATTATCTGAATTCCATAATCTACACCAATCAACCTACAGCCCAGTATCACCTACAGTTCAACACCAGTAGCCGCTGAGCTCAGGATGGTCATCTCTTCTCCCTCATCAAGCTCACAAAGGCTAGGAGTCAGAGACGAAAATGTTGGAGGCCTCCTCCACCAATCCATACCCCCAATATCCCTACCTTTGATCCTAGTTAATAAAGTTATTCATTAAAATCAAGGCCACGTGTTATAACAGGACACAAAAGGTATCAGGTACTGCCTTTCCTACCCACCCCTGGGCTTGGAGTATCTGACCCTGTCACCAGTTCACCTTTCTTCCCCATGCCAATTTTACCCAGCACACAATGTTACCTACTTCCCGTGAGAAACAGAGGCTTTATTAGGCACAGAGTGTGACTGCTGGGCAGTTACAAGATGGCTACTGGACTTCCTCCCAAGCTGCAGTATAGTACTTCAAGGGAAGGAGGGGCAGAAGAACAGGTGTTTTCTGTGCCCTCTCCCCTCAAGGCTGCATGCGAATGGCCCCATCCAGCCGGATGACCTCTCCGTTGATGAATGGGTTTTCGATGATGGCTTGTACCAGGTGAGCGTACTCAGCAGGGTCACCCAGGCGGCTGGGAAAGGGCACCTGGCTGGCCAAGAAGTTGCGCACTTTTTCTGGGAGGCTGGTCAGCAGCGGTGTACCAAATAGGCCTAGACAAGACAGTCAGAGTCAGAGGCCTACCCTTTCTTTTTTTTTTTTTTTATCCCAATGTTTATTTATTTGAGAAAGCACAATATCAAGTTGGGGATGGGGAGAGAGAGCATGTGCTCAAGTTGGGGAGGCGAGGAGAGAGAGGTGAGGGAGAGAGAGAGAATCCCAAGCAGGTTCTGTGCTGTCAGCACAGAGTCTGATGCGGGTCTCGATCTCACCAACAATGAGATCATGACCTGAGCTGAAATCAAGAGTCAGATGCTTAACCAAATAAGCTACCAGGCGCCCCACGCCCTTCCTTTCGTATTTACTCAGTCCCTCCTCACCTTACCCCTAACTATGGTACTTCCAATGCCCAGAAATGGAAGACTATTGCTGCTTAGTTGGTAAACACCTTCCCCTCTCAACTGCCCATGAATCCTATCCAATCCCAGGTGTGGTAGGGAGGGAATATACCTACCTGGAGCAATGGTCATCACTCGGATGCCCATGGGAGCCAGATCCCGAGCAATAGGCAGTGTCATGCCCACTATGCCCCCCTTGGAAGCAGAGTATGCAGCTTGTCCAACCTGGAGAAGGAGTAGAGGTCATAGGTGGAAGAGCACTAGCAAGTCACCAAGAAAACACAAGCCTTGTCCCTGCCCACACACCTGGCCCTCAAAGGCAGCCACACTGGCAGTGTTGATGATGATCCCACGTTGGCCTCCCTGATCTGGTTCATTCTTGCCCATCTCACCAGTCACCAGGCGGATCACATTGAAGGTGCCCATGAGATTCACCTGGAAGACCAGTAGAGACATGGTGTAGGATCTTTTGTTCCCTAAAAGCTGTGGGGGGCACCCACAGCCAAATATCTCATACTTGTACCCCTGAAGAATCTCCAAGGCCTTACATTAAGAACTCGCTGGAAGTCCTCCAAAGTATGGGCCTGATTCTTCTTTAAGTTGTATGTCTTCATAGCCACTGCAATACCTGCACAGTTGACTGCCACATCCACACGGCCAAACTTTTCTCTTGCTAGAGTCAGGGCTCCTTGCACGTCCTTCTCTGAGGTCACCTTCAAAGGGAGAAGTGAAGAAAAGTATACATCTCCCACCACACACACTTACCACCAAACTTGAAGGTGGAGGGAGTAGGTCCAGTCTTTGAGTGACAACAGGATTCTTTGTGTTTTTTTTACTTATTTCTAGGAGAGAGAGAGAGACAGCGTGAGCAGGGGAGGGTCAGAGAGAGAGGGAGTCACAGACTGAAACAGGCTCCAGGCTCTGAGCTGGCAGTCAACACAGAGCCCGACGCGGGGCTCGAACCCACGAACCGAGAGATCATGACCTAAGCGAAAGTCGGACGCTTAACCGACTAAGCCACCCAGGCGCCCCAGGCGCCCCGAGTGACAATAGGATTCTTAAGCAAGGGAGAAGCCAAAAGAAAACGGAGAGTGGGGCAAAGGTGAAAATGTTAGGTACTATTGTAAAAACTCCCTTGGGCCAAAAGGTCAGGGGCTTGCAAATGAGAAAATATCAACCATTGTTTGATCTCAAACTCTATTTGGGTAAAAGGTCAGGGGTTGAGCAACCTAGCTCCTCCTGGCTGCAGCAAGCCCCTGAGATGTAAGTCTTTAGTGGGCATTGTGATTAGAACGGCCAAACATGTTCTTCAACCCCCACCTCTAACCCCAAAATTCTCACTTCTGTACACCGGCTTCGCCCCCTCCCTATATAAACTCTGTGCTATGGCTCAGTAGGGCGCTCTTCCAAGGACTTTTCGGGTGCTCGGGAGGGGCCGTCTGGCTGGACTAAAATAAACCTGAATAACCAACTCCTTTTGTGTTTTGTGGGCTTTGTCCTCGGTGATTCTCCTTTGGAAAGGGTGGTCTAACATTTTGGAGGTCCCCAGCGAGATCCCGAGGACAGGAAAGCCTTTCGGTTGGGCCTTGGCGCCAGGCTGCAGCCTTGGAGATTGGTCCAGGTTTCTTTTTTATCCCCATCACCTCCGGAGGTAAGTTTTTGCCAGTCGCAACCAGTTTTGGAAGGGTTGGATTAGGAGGCTGACGAGCCTGGAACCTCACCAACCGTCTCAGCCAAGGCATTGGTCTGGGACTTTGGTACTTGTGCCCGGGACTTTGGTCTAAATTTGTGCCCGGGAATTTGGTATAGCTTGGTAAAACTTGGTGAAACTTGTGCCCAGGACTTTGGTCTATGTTGATGTAACTTGTGTCTGTCAGTCACGTCATGTCTTTGTCTCAACGTTTCATTTTCATCTAGTGCTGTGTTCGACATTGTTCCTTTGATCAAAATGGGCGGTTCAGAGTCTAAAATCAACATGCCACTAGAATGTTTCTTGGTTAACTTCAAAGCCATATATACGTCTGAAAGGGCAGATGAATATGGCGTTAAATTATCAAAGGATAAACTGCTAACCCTCTGTGAATTGGAATGGCCGGTTTTTGGAATTGGATGGCCTTCAGAGGGTTCCTTTGATCCCTCCTTGTGTCGAGCCATTTATGTGGCGAGTAGTTACAGGTAACCCAGGACACCCGGACCAGTTTCCCTACATGGATATCTGAGCACAAGCATGTGAACAGCCACCTGCTTGGCTTCAACATTGTTCTCTTAAAACTGGTTACAGGGTTTTAATAACAGCGAAGAAACCCATGGCTCCTAAAAACCTGAGGTAAAACCTATCTTTTTGCCCCTCCAGTGGAAGATCTACTTGATCTCTCCAACCAGCCCCCTCCTCATCCTCTATCCCCCACCTGCTCGGCTCCCTCGCCTCCCCCAGACTCATCCTCCCCTTCACCCATGGTTTCTCCACCTCCCCGCCCAGCTTCGATGCAACTGGAAGCATCAAAACCCTCCCTTCTCTGAGAAACTGCAAGCCCTCATTTATCTGCTAGAGTCTGTTTTTCACACTCATTTACCTACCCGGGACGATTGTCAACAACTCTTACAGGTCCTTTTTACTTCTGAAGAGCGCGAGGGCATTTTCAACGGTCTTAGGCACAGATGGGACAGCTCTCCAGGCGGCTCAATGTGCCCGCCTGGAAGAGGAAGTGCCCTTGGCACGCCCAAATTGGAACTACAATTCATCAGCAGGTAGGAGATCACTCACCAATTACCACCAGTATCTCCTGGCCGGCCTCAGGGGAGCCGCTTATAAGCCTACCAATTTGTTGAAGGTAAGTGAGGTCCTATAGGGACCTGAGGAATCCCCTGCCACCTTTTTGGAGTGACTTTTAGAGGCATACTGGACCTATACTCCCATGGACCTGATGCCCCTGAAAATCAAAAGGCAATTAACTTAGCTTTTGTTGCCCAGTTGGCCCCAGATATTTGTAAGAAGTTACAAAGGTTAGAAGGATTTGATAGAGAGAACAGGGACAAGCTTATGAGTGTAGCCATGAAAGTCTTCCATAATTGAGACCGCCCCCCCTGAGGAGAAATTAGCCGAAAGGGTAGGGAAAGCGACCATTGCGGCCCTATTGGACCAAGGAATCGTAACATCCTCAGAGGGAAAAGGAAGAGGGCCTTTTAGAAGGCCCCCTCTCAGAAAAGATCAGTGCACTTACTGCAGAGAGAAGGGACATTACAAGCAGAAGTGCCCTGTGCTCCAAAGAAAAAAGGAGGCCCAAATTCTCCCCTTAGCAGGAGAAGAGGACTGATGGGGCCTGGACTCACAGCCGCTAAATCCCCAAGAGCCTATGGTCACTTTAAGAGTAGGGGAAACTGATGTTAATTTCTTGGTTGACACGGGAGCAGCACACTTGGTCCTCAAAAGGCCCTTAGGACCAATGACAAAAATGAAAACCCTTATACGCTCTTGAGTCTCATTCTCCCCAGATCACATTGTCTACTCTGTACTGGACCTCAAGGATGCTTTCTTCAGTATTCCTCTGGCTCCTATCAGTCAGCCGATATTTGCTTTCGAACGGACAGATCCAGATACTGGGACCACCAGACAGCTGACATGGACTTGGCTGCCTCAAGGATTTAAAATTCCCCTACCCTGTTCGGGGAAGCCCTAAGTAAGGACCTGCTGCCGGTAAGAGGCCACTTTCCAAAGGCCACTATTTTACAGTATGTTGATGATCTACTTATTGCTGGACCAGATGAGGTTACATGCCAGGAGGCAACTGAGGAAGTTCTACAGACATTACAGGATTTGGGCTACCGAGTCTCATGGAAGAAGGCCCAAATCTGCCAGGATCAAGTCACCTATCTGGGGTAAGTGACTAGAAGGTAAGAGGTCTCTTTCTGCCTCCCGGGTTCAAGCGATTCTCCAGATACCTCCACCCACCCCTAAAAAGCAAGTCAGAGAGTTCCTTGGAACTGTGGGTTATTGTCCTATCTGGATTCTCGGGTTTGCTGAAATGGCAAAACCACTGCATGAGGCCACTGCAGGGGGATCCACCCCCTTGATTGGGACTGAGGCCCAACAGGGAGCATTCGATAAGCTAAAGCAAGCATTAATTTCGGCCCCAGCTCTGGCTTTGCCAGATATCTCAAAACCCTTCTTTTTATATGTGGCTGAAAAAGACGGGGTGGCCAAGGGAGTCATCACCCAAACTCTTGGGCCATGGAAGAGACCCATTGCCTATTTATCCAAACGCTTGGACCTATGGCACAAGGGTGGCCCGTCTGCCTGCGAACTGCTGCTGCAACTGCCACCTTTGTAAAAGAGGCCGATAAACTTACCTATGGCCAAACTCTAATGGTTATCACGCCTCATGGGATAGAACCCCTGCTCCACAGCTCCCCCAACAGATGGCTCTCGAATGCCAGACTACTTCAATACCAGGCCCAATTGTTGGACCAACCGAGGCTCAAGTTCCAACGGGTATCAGGACTCAATTCTGCTACTCTCCTGCCGCAATCTAATGAGGGCCCACCAATTCATGACTGTCTTGAGATCCTAGAGACTTATAAGAATGGACGGCCTGAGTTGACTGATCAGGCACTCCTGGATGCAACTGAAACTTTCTTCACCAAAGGGAGCAGTTTCATTCCTCAAGGGAGACGATATATAGGAGCTGCCATGGTAAATCACCAGTTGCAGGTAATATGGGCCCAACCCTTACCCCAGGGGACCTCTGCCCAAAAGGCAGGGGCATCGGACAGCTAGTCCTCCATCCTCAACCTACACTACCAGATAAGCTGTTCTATTCCCCCCGATGAAGAAGCCAAATACTCCCATAAAGATTGGGAAAGACACCCAATGGTTGGTCGCAACACCCAGATGGGGGCGCCTAATCATTCCAAGGACTCTAGGGAGGACCCTATTAACTCAACTTCATGAGACTACCCACCTGGGTGAAAAGAAGATATCTCAAATGGTGTCCCCCATTTATATATTCCTGGGATAACTCCCAATCTTTCGGACTTGGTGGAATGGTGCCTGATTTGTGCTAAAACAAATGCCACAAAAATTACTGGGCCACCTGGAGTTCGCTACCAAGGGACAAATCCTGGAGAACACTGGGAACTAGACTTTACAGAAATAAAAAAGGGAAGTTATGGATACAAGTACTTGTTAGTACTTATAGATACTTTTTCTAGTTGGGTTGAGGTATTCCCCATGAAAGGGGAAGCAGCAAAAGTAACCGTAAAGAAGCTTTTACAAGAAATAATTCCCTAATTTGACTTGCCCTTATTTCTGGGGTCTGACAATGGCCCAGCCTTTACGGCTAAGATATCTAAAATGATTAGTAAAACCTTAGGAACAGAATGGAAATTACACTGTGCCTACCGTCCCCAAAGTTCAGGGTAAATAGAAAGGACAAACAGAACTTTCAAGGAGACCTTAACAAAATTATGCCTGGAGACTGGAATGAATTGGATTGATCTCCTGCCTTTTGCCCTCCTCCGAACTAGATGTGCTCCTACACAACTTGGGCCCACCCCATATGAGATAATATTCAGGCGGAGGCCCCATTGCTTCCCAGGCTCTCTGTAGAGCTTCAGGAGGAATGGACAAATCAAAAACTTCTCCTTTCCTTACAAGCTCTACAGCTGATCCAGGCTCAGCTCCATAAGGAGATCCATAAGCAACGAGTGGGAACTGTTAACCCCTTAACTCATTCTCATAAAATTGGGGATCTGGTCTTTATTCGTAGACTCAACTCGGATTCATTAGAACCCTGAAACACAGGTTTGAGTTTCCTATTGCAGAAAAAGTAAGACTATTTGGACCCTTTGAAAAAGATGGTTTATGCTTAATTGGTTCCTGAATTCACCATCTAAAAAAAAAATCCTAGTGTAAACACCTCTCAATTGGTTATTAAGTCCTCAATTGGAGACTATGGTTTCCTAAGAGTTAAAATTCTGCTAAGTGTACTTTAGACTGATGGAAAATAAGGAAAGCAACTCTGTATATAGGAAACTGAGAGATACATAAAAAAGTTGTAAGGAATGGAAATACATCTTTGTTGAGGGTAAAAGAAAGTAATTTTGTCCTAAATAAGACTGGTTGTTTAGAGAGAAATGGCTTTGGGGCAAAGCTTAAAGGAAAGGTGTAGAAGGTCTATGAAGGGAAATCTTTGAAAAGGAATTTTATGTGTGCTCAGGATAGACTAAGGTTGAGATTAATGGAATTTGAAAAGTACACTGGTGTAAGGTTAAAACTCTGCTTTTCTCTCTGGTCAAAAGGAAAAGTTTTCTTGCACTGTAAATTTGCTCTTGATAAGACAATGTAAACAAAGGTTTTTTCCTTTTTCTGCCAAGAAAACCAAAGCTTCAGGTTTCATCTTTATCAGGTTTTTGATTGCATAGTTAAAACTTCTGAATGTTGAAGGAGCTAGGTTTTTCTAACTACTATATTAGGTTATACATTTGCCTTTAGGATTTTTTATTGCCACTTTGGTTGAATAGAAAAAGTTTTAAGATTTGTAAAGATCTGTAATCCTATTTAGGATGAGCTTTAGAACTTCCTAAAGTTTTAACAAACTTCCCAGGATTTGAATAGTAAAAAAGGTCTTTTGACCAATTAGGCCCTTTTATTTGAGATGCTAAGTTACTTGGAAAAGCACTGTGTACAACAGTAAACCTTAGGTTGTATGGCATGGGTAAATGCCATAACTGCCCACATATATATGCAAATCCTAAAGTTTTAATGTTTTGGTATAGGGTTATCAGGTAATATTCTGATTACTTAAAATATTATATGTCACAAAAATAACTGAATTTGTCAATTGCATCATACTGAACTCTCATCAAATCTTTAATAATGTCCATCTGAGATTTTGTCATTTATGATTGTTCTTATTCTCTCACAAAATGTGTTCCTTCTTCAAAGAGAACACCTATCCTAGTCCCAGTCTTAACTGTGATAGGAATTGCTGGATCAGCCACCTTGGGCGCCTCAGCTTTAGGAATACAAGATGTGAATTTCAAATCTTTAAGCCAACAGGTAGCCCAAGACCTGGGACTTCTGACCCAGTCTGTTGCCCATCTAGAAGGCCAAGTCGACTCCCTGGCTGAGATGGTGCTCCAAAACAGGCGGGGTCTAGACTTACTCTTCATGAAAGAGGGAGGATTATGGTGGCACTGGGAGAACAATGTTGTTATTATGCCAATAAATCAGGAATAATATGGGATACTCTGGCTACAGTAAACCAACATCTGTTAACTAAATATGACCAAAGAGAAGCAAACTATGGTTGGTTTCAATCCTTATTCAGTTGGTCTCCCTGGTTAACGACTCTAATATCTGCTCTAATCAGGCCCTTAATCATTATTTTACTTGCCCTGGCTATAGGACCTTATATCATTAATAGACTCATGGCTTACACTAGATCGAGAATAGGGTCCCTAAAACTCTTAATGCTAAACCAAGGGACCTACCAGCCCATAGACATTGAAACTCCGGTTTAAGATTAACCGGTTTAAGATTAACCGGAGATAACTAAAATCAGTGGGGAATGTAAAAACTCCCTTGGGCCAAAAGGTCAGGGGCTTGCAAATGATAAAATACCAACCAACTGTTTGATCTCAAACTCTATTGGGGTAAAACGTCAGGGGTTGAGCAACCTAGCTCCTCTTGGCTGCAGCAAGCCCCTGAGATATAAGTCTTTAGTGGACGTTGTGATTAGAACGGTCAAACATGTCCTTCAAGCAACTATTAAGCAACCCCCACCTCTAACCCCAAAATTCTCACTTCTGTACACCGGCTTCGCCCCTCTCCCTATATAAACCCTGTGCTATGGCTCGGCGGGCCGCTCTTCCAAGGCCTTTTCGGGTGCTCGGGAGGGGCCGTCCGGCTGGACTAAAATAAACCTGAATAACCAACTCCTTTTGTGTTTTGTGGGCTTTGTCCTTGGTGATTCTCCTTTGGAAAGGGAGGTCTAACACTATACAGCAGTGTTCAAAACATTTTTCAAATCTATACCCTCTTTTGATAAATGCACATACCCCTGGAGGTTTCTGTGACTCAGAGCAGCTTTGAGAATTAATGATATGAAGATAAATTAGCTTCACTTTCTGTAGTTTGTTTCACAAAAAGTTTTTCAACTTTGTAAATATAAAACTAGAGAGCACAATATGCATTTTCGAACTGTACATACCCACTCCAGAAGATTCTGATATGTCCAATCCCCATCCCCACTGCTGTGGATCCCGGCTTCGTACATTTCTTATTGTAGATGCTCCCAACAGATCCTGACTGAGAGCTCAGGCCAAAAGGGACAAGGAGATGGGTCCACTGTCCACATAGATAGCACCCTTACGGAAGGGGACCCCCACAAGTTCCCAGGCCTATTTCAGTGACTTCATGCACACACTTACGTCCGCTGGGGCAAAGACGCAACTCTTCCCTAACTTCTTGGCTTGGACCTCCCCATCGGAGTTGGGCAGGTCCAGAAGCACAGCAGTGGCTCCTTGCCCCACGAGTCGCTCCGCCGTTGCCAGACCCAGACCAGAGGCTCCTCCGGTTATTAGAGCAACTAGGCCCTGTGAAAAGAATACGGTCAAATGGCTACACCGGGCAAACCACCCCAACTCCTGCAAGGGAGGCTCCTGGTTACTCCTAAGGTGTAACCCAGGTGTGTTTCCTCTCCTTACCAATGGGACCTCTTGGTGTCTCATCCCCAGAGAGCCCACACACATACGCCACGGAGAGTTGACCTTCACCTCCCAAGCCCAACTGCCACACTACCAGGCCTAGATAAGGGTGACCCTTTCTCCCAGCACCGATCTCTTCCTCTTAGTTCTACAGCCGCGCGGTCCCAGCGGGCGCAGCGGAGCCGCCAGCAGGAGCGAACGCCCCACTACCTTCACGCTCCGACATGCCGCAGCCATTTTGCGCTGTCCTCCCTCGAGCCTGGCCGTGAGGCAGACCCTGATTGGCCGAGACGGAGGGATGGGGCGGGGCCGGCGAGGGGGCGGGCCAATGGGGAGGGGCCGGCGAGGGGGCGGGCCAATGGGGAGGGGCCGGCGAGGGGGCGGGCCAATGCACAAGACTCCGGGGCGTGATGTTGGCTGTTCATGTTCCGTGTCCGGAGGGCTAGGTCTGGGCCAGGTGCCTCTGGAGTTTTCTCACCTAGAGAAAGAACCCAATAGCTGCAGCACAATACCATCACACCTACCGCACTACTCTCTAGCTAGTCTTTGGGCAGGCGGCCAGCTCCTTAGGGGGTAGGCAGACAGGAGATTGAGATTATTCCTTACTCCTCAGAAAAACCATTCATTCAAGCATACACATATGAGAGTCTCCCATATGCCAGGCTCTGTACGGGTCACTGGGGATACCCAAAGGAATATTAAAAGGTTCGTGCCTTCCAGAAGAGGACAGTTCAGTTCAGGAAAGATAATTACAGTACAGACAGAGACAAAGGGACAGAGAACAAGGTTCTGAGACATAGACATGGATATGCAAAGATGGAGATTGTGAGAGCCACCAGAGAGAAATATGTTAAGAGACTGAGAGGAATAGCGATGCCAGACTGGATCACAAAGATAAGGATGTGAAGAGCTACTAAGAGACAGGAAAGTCAAACTCACTTTTCGTAGATGACATGATAGTCTACATGGAAAACCCAAAAGACTCCACCAAAAACTGCTAGAACTGATACACGAATTCAGCAAAGTTGCAGGATATAAAAATAAATGTACAGAAATCGGGTGCATTTCTATACAACAATAATGAAGCAGTGGAAACAGATATCAAGGAATCAATCCCATTTACAATGGCACCAAAACCCATAAGATACCTAAGAACAAACCTAACCAAAGACGTAAAATTTCTGTACACTGAAAACAATAGAAAACTTATGAAAGAAATCGAAGAAGACACAAAGAATTGAAAAACATTCCATGCTCATGGATTGGAAGAACAAATATTGGGAAAATGTCAATACTACCCAAAAGAATCTACACATTTAATGCAATACCTATCAAAATAACACCAGCATCCTTCACAGAACTAGAACAAATAATTCTAAAATTTGTATGGAACCAGAAAAGACTCCAAATAGTCTAAGCAATGTTGAAAAAGAAAGCCAAAGCTGGAGGCATCCCAATTCTGGACTTCAAGATTAGAAAGGTGTAATCATCAAGACAGTATGGTATTGGCACAAAAACAGACACATAGGTCAATGGAATAGAACAGAGAACCCAGAAATGGACCCACATATATATGGCCAACTAATCTTCAACAAAGCAGGAAAGAATATACAACGGAAAAAAGACAGTCTCTTCAGCAAATGGTGCTGGGAAAACTGGACAGAAAAATGTAGAAGAATGAAACTGGACCACCTTTCTTACACCATACACAAAAATAAATTCAAAATGGATGAAAGACCTAAAGGTGAGACAGGAAACCAGCAAAATCCTACAGGAGAAAATGGACAGAAACCTCTTTGGCCTTGGCCACAGCAACTTCTTACTAGACATGTCTCCAGAGGCAAGGGAAATAAAAGCAAAAATGAACTACTGGGGTCTCATCAAGATAAAAAAACCTTCTGCACAGCAAAGGCAACAATCAACAAAACTAAAAGTCAACTGACAGAATGAGAGAAAATATTATTAAATGACATTACTGATAAAGGGTTAGTATCCAAAATCTATAAAGAACTTATCAAATTCAACACCCTACCAACAAATAATCCAATAAAGAAATAGGCATAAGACATGGATAGACACTTCTCCAAAGACATCCAGATGGCTGACAGACTCATGAAAAGATGCACATCACTCATCATCAGGGAAATACAAATCAAAACCACAATGAGATACTACCTCACACCTCTCAGAATGGCTAAAATTAACAACTCAAGAAACAATAGGTGTTACCGAGGATGTGGAGAAAGGGGAACACTTTTGCACTGTTGGTGGGAATGCAAACTGGTGCAGCCACTCTGGAAAACAGTATGGAGGTTCCTCAAAAAGTTAAAAATAGAACTACCCAATGACCCAGCAATTGCACTACTATGTATTTATCCAAAAGATTTTTAAAATGTTGATTTGAAGGGGCACATGCACCCCAATGTTTATAGCAGTGCTATCAACAATAGCCAAATTACGGGAGGTTCCTCAAAAAATTAAATACACTCTATGACCCAGCAATTGCACTACTCAGTATTTATCCAAAGGATACAAAAATGCTGATTCAAAGGGGCCCATGCACCCCACTGCTTATAGCAGCACTATAAACAATAACCACATCATGGCAAGAGTCCAAATGTCCATCAACTGAGGAATGGATAAAGAAGACATGGTGTATACATATACAATGGAATACTACTCAGTGATGAAAAAGAATGAAATCTTACCATTTGCAACAATATGGATGGAACTAACTAGAGGGTATTATGCTAAGTGAAATAAGTCAGTCGGAGAAAGACATATCATATGATTTCACTCATATGTGGAATTTGAGAAATTCAACAGATGAACATAGGGGAAGGGAAGGAAAAATAGCATAAAAACAGAGATGGAGGCAAACCATAAGAGACTCTTAAATACAGAGAACAAACTGAGGGCTGCTGGAGGGGAGGTGGGGGGGATGGGTTAAATGGGTAATGGGCATTAAGGAGGGCACTTTTTGGAATAAGCACTGGGTGTCATATGTAAGAGATGAATCACTGGGATCTACTCCTGAAGCTAAGACTTCACTGTTTGTTAACTAAATCGAATTTAAATTAAAAGGAAAAAAGGGACAGGGAAGCTGGGAGACAGACATTCTCAGACAGAGCTGTTGAGAAGCAGAAACTCCGAGAGGCATAAACAGAAGCATAAACACCTTTCATCAGTTCAGCCTTGGCTATTGTCCTCTAGCTGTGTCAAACCTATTTTAAACCCAAAAGTCCAGATCACACATTGCTGATTGGAATTCAACCAGACACTGTCATTAAAAATTTTTTTTATTATGTTTATTTATTTTTGAGAGGCAGAGAGAGACAAAGTGTGAGCAGGGGAGGGGCAGAGAGCGAAGGAGACACAGAATCCGAAGCAGGCTCCAGGCTTGAGCTGCTGCCAGTGCAGAGCCTGATTCAGGGCTCAAACTCACGAGCCATGAGATCATGACCCAGGTAAGATGCTTAAACAAGTGAGCCACTCAGGTGCTCTCCCAACACCATTTACTGAAGAGACTGTCCTTCACCTATTGTGTATTCTTGACATTCTTTTCAAAGATTAGTTGACCGTTTATCTATGGTATTTCTGGGCTTTCTATTTTGTTCTATCTATCTATGTGTCTATCTTTATGGCAATACTATACTGTTTTCATTACTATAGTTTTTTAAAACAGTTTTATTTTTATGTTTATTCATTTTTGAGAGAGAGAGCGAGCGAGCAAGGGAGGTCAGAGAGAGAAGAAGACACTGAATCTGAAACAGGCTCCAGGCTATGAGCTAGCTGTCAGCACAGAGCCCAACACAGGGCTTGAACCCATGAACCGTGAGATCATGACCTGAGCCGAAGTCGGACGCTTAACCAACTGAGCCACCCAAGGCGCCCCTCCAATTCAAATCTTGAGCCCACCTAATCTACCTAATCTTACTACCTTTTATACTTCTCCCCAAACCAAGGTCTTGAGGTCATAAATCTTAGTCTATATTTAGTCCCATTTGGCTTTATGTTTCCTCTACCTAAAGTATTTCTCCACATGCTTTCCCACCGGGGAAGGCTTTCCTCTGGGCCTCCTAGTTGTTGACAATCACCACACTCATGGACACTACACCATATTCATCAAAGGATTTAGTACCAGATTCACAATCTTTCTGACTACATGAAGTCCGCCCAGCAATTTATACCACTCTTCGCTGGGTCCAATATGCTCCAGCCACAGTGGCCTCTTTTATTAATCTTTGCATTAGCCATTCCCTGTGCTTGGAATTCTCTCTCCATGAAGTTTGCATGACTGCCATTTTTTTCTTCTTCTTCTTCTTTTTTTATCATGTAGAGCTAAGCTTAAATGTCACCTTCTCTCCCTGATCATTCAAGCTGTGGACACTATCCCATCATGTTGGGGAAAGTTATTGAGGATGTGACCACTGGTTGACCTGAGAGCGGGAGCCAGGCAAAGGGTATCTCTTCATCCCTTCCCTTGTCTTTGGAATATATGCTCTGCCCAATATTCCCATGGCTAGAGCCATTTCAGGAACATAGCTTTGAGAGAGTAAGGTATTGTTGAGACCATCGAGACTGAATACATGATTGAACCCAGTTAAAACCTCTCTATAATGTTTAAGATTCCAGTGGGTGGATGCAGAGATCTCCTTGTCTTTCAGCTAAGACAAGCCTTGTATGTAAGTTGCCTTGCTTATTAAATCTGCCATCTACCAATCTGGAGTGGTCTGCCTCTTTCTTTGACCTCTCCATGTCCTCCATGTACAGGGGCCATTTTGTGAACCAACACATTGCATATTTGAATTATCTGCATAGCACTTACATGTCTATAATCTTTTTTTCTAATCTTGGGGCCAGATGTATTTTGGAATTCACATTTTTTTTCAATTTTAGAAAGGAAGACATTTTATATTACATAAATCTGTATACTGCATATAGTCTATTCTACATAACTACTGAGAAAGGTCTAGAGAATCACATAATTAAAAATTAATATTTCTAGTGTGAAAAGTATGAACAATAACACTAAGTGTGAATCAACTTAGTGATATAGATAGCTTCATATTGCTTCAGGTCAGGTTTTGTCACCTGATGGTTTGGGCTCCAAAGTATTATCTCCTTGAACCCTGTTATTCTGTGGGCCTTCCCATTTTCTTCCAGCCTAGCAGCCTCTATCTACTTTTCTTCTGGC